AATTTCTAGAAAAAATCCTGCCTCTTGTCATTTATCTTAGTGCAAGTAGTTGGAAAATGAGCACACATAAGGATCATAGCTATGTGGTCTTGTTTTTGTGCATGTAAAACTTTAAAAGCCTGTTATTTGGGGTGATATGCACATCTTCTTGCACATTGTATTGTTTCATAATCAAGCAAAATGTAAAAATCATGTAATCAATCTTTTCTTCTCTGGTAACTGAAATACAAATGATTTGACTTTGTTATCCATAAACATGTAATAATAACTGCTACATATTGATTTATAATAGAGTGGATTTTCCCTATTTTAATTGCATCTGCACACCGCTCTGTGTGCTGTCATGAAGTGCCGTACTGCCTGGCATTTTTTTCTCAATGACTGTTCATCAAAATAATTTTTTAAGTGCAAGTTGGTCAGTATGTTCTCTGTCTGGAATTCGTGAAAGCTTTTTGGTCAATTCCAGAAGAGTTTTACACTGTAAATGATAAGTATTGAACTGTAATTTTCTTTAACTGCAGCTGCAAAAGCAGTGGAAATCTAGTTGTGGTTGTGACTCACAGTGAAATGCAAAATGCTGCAAGTCAAACAATGTTTTAGCTATATTATACCTAAAAACTAAATATCATGAGTAGCATATCTTGTTATTTAAGAAAAGAGGTAAACAAATCTATGCTAAGAAAAGTATCTTCTGTGAAAAGCTTAGACTTACTAAGTTTGGATATGTAAAAATTAAAAAACTTTACAACAAATCATTGCTAAAATTATTGGTATTACATTGAAATATGTTTATTTGTTTTGATTAATATTTTAGGCTTGCACTGGAGGTGGATGTTCAATAAGCGAAGCTAGCACAGCTAAAACAGATGAGAGTACACCAGAAGGTGTTCCTGCTCCAAAAGCCCAGTCATATTCATCTGACTCCTTTAACATCTCATGGACTAAGCCCGAGTATCCGAATGGTAAGTGAACTCTTTTAGCCTCAAGTTAAAAAGATGATTAGTAAAGGTAAATTAATATTCTAAATGGCAGCTTATATGTGGTGCTTAATTTTTAATGATCATTTTAGCACATAAAATACCTGAGATAGTATCATTGTCTGCAGCTAGGAGATTGTGGTTTTCAGCCTATCGCATGGTTTCAGTGGCTCAAAAGTGCTCCCTTTTGATAGTTCTTGTGTACTGCATCTCATTGTTTAATGTTTTCCAGGACAATTGAGCTGAGGAATAGGTATTCTTGGAGAATATCAGTCTGGGATGTTCATTTCACCCTCCAATAAAAAACTAATTTCTTTTACATTAATTGATATGTAATAATAATCAGATTTGTGTTCTACATTGTCATCCTGAAGATGTGCATTTCCGTGGCTGTAGAAGTTAAATAATGTACTTTCTTTTGTTTTAGAAATGTTTTCCGTGTTCAAATATCCACGTGTAGAACTTTTGGACAAATTTTACATTTCTCATGGTATTGCACAGTATCATATGGCCTTGGAATTTGCCTTGGTTTTATTATCATGCATGTAACAGTTTAAATCACAAAAGAGGAAGCTATGCAGAAATCACTGAATTTAAAGCAACATGTTTTAGAAATGTTGATATATTGATATATATCAATTATTTCTGGCAGTGGTTTCACATAAAATTATTTTTTCCTCTGAAAGTTTTTCACCGCTTTCAGTTGTGGTAGAACACATCCTCCTTGTACTACTTCACTACAAGGCACTCATACATATCTTTATAAAGATGTCTTACACATACGTATCTTTATAAACACATATCAACAGCACAGGTTAAAGACCTATAGTTTGACAAATAAATTTCCACAAGCTTCCTTTAAAACAACTAAAAGTTGGGAATACATGACTAAATTTGCATATTGTATCTTATACAGCATTTACTATGTATAGCTTGTCTCTCCTTTTAAATGCAATAAATATGTTGTTAGGAAACAACTGAGGGTGTTAGTGCATGCTCAGTATGTTTGCAGATGACACCAAGTTGGTTGGGAGTGTTGGTCTGCTCTACAGAGGGATCTGGACAGGCTGGATCAATGGGCCAAGGCAAATTGTGAGGTTCAACAAGGCCAAGTGCCAGGTCCTGCACTTGGGTACAACAACTCCATGGAATGCTACAGGCTTGGGGAAGAGTGGCTGGAAAATTGCCTGGTGGAAAAGGACCTGGGGGTCTTGGTCTGCAGGCAGCTGAGTATGAGCCTGAATGTCCTGCCTTGTATCGGAAATAGCGTGGCCAGCAGGACGAGGGAAGTGATCATCCCCCTCTACTCGGCACTGGTGAGACCACACCTTGAATACTGTGTTCAGTTTTGGGCCCCTCACCACAAGAAAGACAGCGAGGTGCTGGAGCGTATCCAAAGAATAGGAACAAAGCTGGTGCAGGGGCTAGGGCACAAGTCTTATGAGGAGCGGCTGAGGGAGCTGGAGCTGTTTAGGCTGGAGAAAAGGAGGCTGGAGAGTTTATCGCTCTCTACAACTACCTGAAAGGAGGGTGTAGCAATGTGGGTGTTGGTCTCTTCTCCCAAGTAACAAGTGATAGGACAAGAGTGAATGGCTTCAAGTTGTGCCAGTGGAGTTTTAGATTGGATATTAGGAAAAATTTCTTCACTGAAAGGGTTATCAAGAACTGGAACATGCTGCCAAGGGAGGTGGTTGAGCCACCATCCCTGGAGGTATTTAAAGCACAAGTAGATGTGGTACTTAGGGACATGGTTTAGTGGTGGACTTGGCAGTGCTAGGGTAATGGTTGGACTCGATGATCTCAAAGGTCCTTTCCAACCTAAAGGATTCTGTGAAATAGAATAGATATCTTGTTAGGAAAGCTGTGAATCTGAACTGCATGAGCAGCAGATGCGATAAGAGTCAGGGGAAGTTTGTAAAAGAAATTATATTCTTCCATCCCTTGTCCCTTCATCCCTGAAAACTAGAGGTTTCAATGGCCTCGATGGCAACACTGTTCACCTCTATATTAGGGTTTTGAACAATGCATTTGTGTAATTACCATATAGCCTACTCTGTAATCCTAAATACACCCTGTGTAAGCCTCCTGTGTGTATTTCTCCCATTTAAAACCTCATTTTCATGTATTTTCACATCTTGTCACTATTTAAAGCCCATAGAGTATTTTTCCCTTGGTACTGTTGTTATTTTTTGGTGATACGTGGATACCATGCATGTTGCTGTTAAAGGCTTCTCCTTAGGGTCAGAACTGACGGAAAGGATTCAGCCAAGTGAGCTGCTGCTGTCCTGCCTTGCAGGGGAATGCCCCACCCCCTCCCCCCCCCCCATTCCCCTCCCGGTAAGATCGGGGAAGGATAAGAAAAAAAAGTGGAACTTCGTGAGTTGAGATAACGACAGATTTTTAATAATACCACACGAGGAAAACAAAAGAAAGGAGAATATGACAATAAGGCAAGATACAGAATACAATGGAAACACTGATACAATTAAATCCTCACCACCACGAGCTCCCGGCTAGCTTCCCCTTATATCCCGGGCATGAGGTCAGTATGGTATGGAATATCCGGCTATGCCCAACTCCCAGCTTCTGTGAAGAATTAACCCTATCCCAGCTGGACCCAGGACAGTATTTCTCCCATTTAAAACCTCATTTTCTTGTATTTTCACATCTTGTCACTATTTGAAGCCCATAGAGTATTTTTCCCTTGGTACTGTTGTTATTTTTTGGTGATACGTGGATACCATGCATGTTGCTGTTAAAGGGTTTTCCTTAGGGTCAGAACTGACGGAAAGGATTCAGCCAAGTGAGCTGCTGCTGTCCTGCCTTGCAGGGGAATGCCAGAAGGGCATTAGGGAAGCAAGGACCTTGTTTTTTCACTATACTATGCTCACACTTGCACAATGATCAAGAAGGAATATGCAAATTTTGTCTCATTTCTCTTCTTTCTTCTCCCCCACATTTTTTTTTTGAATTTCAAAAAGATCATATAACTAAGAACACGTTTTCCCATTCTCCTGTTTCTTTCTTTCCAGTTTTCTATTTCCATCCTTTTCCTTCTTTCTTAAAAAAAATTAAAACAAACAAACAAACAAGAGTAAGCTCTAAAACTTTTCACTGAGCAACTGCTTAATCAGGAAAGCTTGCCTTGTTCAGTGACTTTGTATTGTTCATTCTCTTGCTCTCCTTGTCAGTATTTCAAAGTTGTGTAGGAGGCTGAAAAATACTATAGTTGAGAAAACTGAAATATGAGAAAGACCAGCAGAAGGAACTTTCCCTTAAATTTTCTTACTTCCGTCTTTTTACTTGTTTATTCTCATAGTCAGAAGTTCTAATGTAGCTTTTTTTTTTTTTTTTTTTTTTAAAGTTAGAAACTGTTTCCCACTTTCGGCTTGTTTCAAACTCTTAAGCTTCAGTCTACTAGGTGTAAGTAGTGCTTTTTGAAAGTACTGAGCTTGGGTTTATGTCATATGGAAACCTCAGAATTGCAAAGATTTGCTTATCATAAATCGTCATCTGCTTAGTACATCTCTGGGTCCATTCCTTTATCTCCCTCCTCCTTTCTTCTGATATTCTGTGTCAGAAGTTACTGTTTATTTCTATGGGCTGAGGAAGCTTATTAGCTGTTGCTGTTGTAGAATTGGTGTGTAGGCTGACTGGGGTTTGCACAGCATAGACTTTACTATGCTCTCTTTATATATATGGATTCCAGCGGCTTGCCACCATTTAGAAAAGTTACAGGGGATTAATGTGCTACCCTTGAGGGCAAAGGTAGCAAATAGGCTACTTGGCTTCTTCATAAAGAGGGCACAATGGGGGGGAGTCAAGCTTTGAGATAAGGGGCTATCTAGACATCAAAGGCTAAGGTTACCCAAACATGGATGTTGATTTTCTGGGCTCCATTTTTAGTTTAAGGCAAATTTACATTATTTTGTGAAAAAAAATTCATTTAATAGAAAATGGGGAACCATACACTTAATTCTTTGTTGAAATTTGCTTCAAAAATGTCATTTATATACCAGATGTAGAAAAAAGACACTTGGAAGATTATGCAGAATATATTTGTAATATGCACCTTTCTTTTGTCTTATTTTCAAGCCAACAATAAACTGTTTGATGGGACATTGTCCAGAGGTATCCCACTTCACAGCAGAACCCTCCTCTGTTTCTATCACATACTTGTCACATATAGTGGAATATAAGCAGTGTTGACCATTTAGTTGAAGGCAAGATATGGCTTGTGAAATTACGTGTGTCATCAGATATTTGTTCTGAGCCTTCACTGTTCTAGTGGCCTCAGTAAAGACTCATATATTCTTCAGAACATCTCCATTATACTCTTGCCATATAGTTTGAGGTCTACTGTTTTAAAAGCTATTCACATAAAAAAAGTGACCTTATCTCCTTTCACTGTTGAAAATTTTCCTTAAATGGTCACTTGTCAAAAACTTCACTTGTGTACAGGTCACAAATAAAATCAAGTATTGATCTGGACTGTATCTCCTAAGGCTATATAGAGTTTGTATGGGAAATATTAGGTATAGTAAAATCTGATTTATAAAATTATTCAGTGAACTAATCCAGTACTTGTTCCTGCAAATCCTTGTGATTGTGAAAGATGGCTTGTGTTTGTAGTCAGTGAAATTGATATAGGTGAAAGTATGTTTGCTTAAGATTTGATCTCTAGATTGTACCTTAAGAGTAAAGTGCTTGTAGCACTTTAGATTCAAAACCTCTTTTCATCTTTAATGTCTGGAATATCATTGACAGATTATATGACCTTACCCAGGAAGGGGAGAGGAGGAAGAAAAAGGGAAGAATGTGCAGCTTTCTTCAGTCTAAGCTTAATTTGCATTGTTGGATTTCTTTTCAAAAGTGAAACAAAATTGTACTATAGTCAATAGATATTTTGTCTTCAGTGAAGCCAAGATTTAATGTAGCTACCTAGGCTTAATTATGAAGAAACTGCATCTTTTCACGCTGACTATGTGTCGCTTCAAAGCCTTGTAAATCACAAAAATGTGCTTTACCCTTCAGTATTACATGGATAGCAAACTTCAGGAATATTTAGTAAGTCTTGAGAAATACATAAACTTTGGTCCAACTTCGAATTTTTTCTCACAGTGCTTTGGAAACATATACTGGTGAAATAGAGAGGCAAAGTTATTTATCCCTGGCCAGAAAGAATTATTACCTAATTTAGAGAAATGGCTTCATATCTCAAAGTCAGACTACTAGCCCTTTTGTTCTGAAATGTACTTCTTTTTCTTTCTTTTCTTTCTGTAATTTTATCCATCAGAGTCATATAAGGCAAAGGCAGAAAGAAAATGAAGAGATAAGGGATCAGCTTATTAGAGATGATTGTTCTCTGACAGTACTGGGAGGACTAACAAAAGTTTACAGTGTTGACTAGCAAGCTGCTCCTCAGAGAGTAGATGCTGCATAGTGCTGTGGTTTTAGGAACACTTTAAAATAATGTTTCAGTTAATTACTACTTAGTTACAGTGGGGATCCCATAGAGGTATATATGACACCCACATTAGTATCAAATGATCTGATTATGATTCATGCTGTTACCATAAATATCAATGATTTGGCCAATATTTTAAAGGGTTAGTACTACTAGTATAGGTAGTTAAAGTACTTCAGTGTTCTTTTTTTTCCCCCCCCAATAAAACACATCCTTAATGCCAGCGTTCACATTTTTCCTTGAGATAAATATAATTTTTATATATATATAACTTGTTTATTTAATGTGGGGCAAATATCAGCCATTAATACCCTTGCTGCACAAGCAACTAGACATAGAAACCTAAGGGATTTTTGCTTTGGGAAGCCTGTCAAATGTGTTAGGATTGATAGTGAGAGATTTACCAGGACTTCCGCCCACACATGCGTCTCTGCTGTCTGACTTGAGTTTAGCCTCTCACTTTTCTAGGAGAAGAGAATTGAGGAGTCTGTGAATCACTTCACCATACTCAGCTCTCCATTGTTTTAGCATATAAATCTTTTGACGTATAACTCTTCCAAGCTCAGCTGAAATAGCTCAGTATACACTTGTATTTACGAAGCATTTCTCCATTCAGTAGAGGGGAAAATCTTTTCTCAGTTTCAAACAGAATCTTCCTCAATGTAGTTTCAAACAATTCAGTTTTAAAGGGAGGAAAGATGAACTGAGCTATATTTTTACAATATGAAGATGCTTTCTGTAATGTGAAGATTAGAAGGCATCCTCTGAACTGAACTCACTTCTAATGAATCCTGTAGCTTTGCATTTGTTGACCTTAAGATTTCACACTTAAATAGCTTTTAAAAAAGAACAGTATTCAGAAGTGAGAAAGATGGAGGAATAGCCCTGAGAAAAAGGATTTATTTGCAAGCTCAACTTCCAAACTCTAAGAAAATCTGCAAAATTCAGTCTTTAGTTAATTAAATTCAAAACACTGTGTGTGTATAGCCTGCACAGGATTCATGCTATCCTATCATACACCTTTGGAAGAACAGAGATTTAGATTTCCTTATAAATGAGATAAGCAATCACCTGCAATTTTGGAGTTAGTATTAGCTAACTACGCCAGAAGGACCATTCTCTCCTCTGTCTAAAAGTCTTGCTAATGTTTGTTTTGAGTTTGCAAATATGTTTCTGTTCTTTAGATTGAATAGGTAAGGAATAGTTTGCTTCAGGGTTTTTCCTACAGCATACAGAGAAGGAAACAGCAGTCCATACTATTTTGTGTTTGTGTTTAGAAAGGGGGTAAAACTGTTTTCCAAAACAAAAAAAAAAACACCACCTGAATTAATGAAGTGACTGGTTTGTTGACAAAATGGAGAAAATCTGAGATAATTGTCAACAAGAATGAGCATGAATAAGGTGTTTTGTGTGACAAAATTTTTATTACTGGTTTATTGTAGTTATAGCACTGTCTTGAGCTGCTCTTCAACGTTTCAGTTATTACGTAGATCGCTATTTGCTTTCTAAGTCTAAAGCTGATAAGATGTGAGGTCGATTTGTTTATTTTCCCAGTTCTTGTTTCGATAGCCATATGCAGAGTAGGCTATGAAAAAGAATTGCCTCGGTTTTCCTGATTCTGAGGTAGATGCTAGCTGCTATTCAGAAACAAGTTTGTTAAGGGTTAGTCTTTGGAACAGTAGAATTGTTTTCAAAAGATTCAGTCCACTTGTGAGGTTTGCAACAGTTGAAGATGGGAGAGTGTGTTTCCTCGAAGTGTTGCATACACAGTCCTACACTTACCTGCTTAACTGTAAACTGTGTGAAATACTACTGCTGCCACCCTAATGTCTGTAGCATTAGTTATCTTCTAAACTCTGTAGCTCTTTAGATACTAAGCGAGTGCTATCACATTGCTTTATAGGTATTATTACTAGCTATGGATTGTATATGGATGGTGTTCTGATGCAAAATTCATCACAGCGAAGTTGTTATACTTACGGACTTGCTCCTTGGAGTTTGCATTCCTTCAGAGTCCAGGCATGTACTGCAAAAGGTTGTGCTCTGGGTCCACTGGTGAGTACCTTAATTTGCATTCTGGGAGTGTAATAAATGTCAGATGGCAGTGAATATCAGCATAAATGGTGATGATTCACTCTGGTCAGTACTAACCCATCTGGCAAAATGTGACATTTAAAAAAAAATCCTGTTTAAAAGCTGCTAAAGATTTGATAGGTCATTGTTAGGCACTGTTCCAAAGTGGAACATAGGTACAGTGAAGAAAGGCAAAATTTGAGGCTGAAACACACATTATTGAAATTAGAGTTAATATGTTTGAAAGGTGCAGATGTGCTTAAACCAGATTTATAAGGACGTATATAAAGAAAGAGTTACTGTTCCAGTAATGAGCAAATTTCTAGCTGCCTGACTGAAAGGACTGAAGTTAATTTGAGAATTACAGAAGTGGGAACAGGAGCAAGGAAAATATGGTGATTCATAAATATCTTTTGAATGCAAGTATGTGATCAAAATATTATACTGGACATATTTTAACAGTCTTGTACAACACCCTATTTTTTCAGGATTTGAGAATACAGGAATATTAAATTCGACATGTGAAAAACAAGCCTTCTGAGTCTTTATTGTGTTAAAGGTTTTTAGATATATAGCTGAACTGATAAATCCAGTATGATTTCATGGTACAGTAGCTGATGAATAACTGGAATAACTGTGCTTGGTTTTGTTTTCAGGAATAACTGAGAAAAAAACCTGGGTTAATTCTGAGATTTTATTTTTTGTTTAATTCATCTTTATGTGTGCACTTTTAATTTTGCTAACAAGAAAAGGAAGAAGAAAAAAAGAAGGTTTGGGAGTTTTTCTTGCTGATTTGTTTATTATTCCATCATAATTTATAATATCACTATATTGTGCTATGGAAAGAACTTCCAGGATTTATTTTTAGGATATAATTTGTTAGTCACATTTCTAATATTCTTTCCAAGATTGCTTTCCTTCAAATGCTGGTAACATCGCCTATCTGTAGAAGACAACTAGACTTTATACCTGTTAAACATTTTATAGCTTGCTCTACTTTGAAGGATATTTACTCTTAAAAGCTTGAATGGCTTTTTGCCAGTTTTACATTTTTTACAACTCTACATACACCCCAAAAGCAAAACTAATTTTAAGGTATTTGATGTGCAATAACCTGGTCCATTGTGTTAGGAGTGATGTTTAAGACAAGTTGTTACCAGACTTTGCATGCAGATGAAGTATGTTTTCAGTACTTCTGTCCTCTCAAATAGGCATCAAAAGGACAGGACAGTAGCAGTAGTTAAGGTTTTAAAAAATAGTTTTAATAGCCTTTTCTCACATCTCCACTGAACTGCAGACCTATAAATTGACTTTTTGAAACAATTCAAAGTAGGGGTCCCTATAGCTGATAATCATCTGCACCCCATGATCAGTACAGAAACTGTTTTCCAAAGCCGCTGATCCATCTCTAATCACAGGAATTGAAGTACATCTTTATTTAGGCTCACCTAAGTGCTGCCAGGAGGTTAAAGCACTGCATCTTCATTTGACTTTTTGAAAGATTTTTATATCAATTACAGAATAAATTCAACCCTATTAAAAAAAAAAAAAAAAAAGAAAAAAAGGATAAGCCAAATGTTTTGCCTCTTCCCTAAACAGTATGGGAAACATCTACCAGCAGTACTGATACGCTTCCAGCTATTTTTGTTGCTGATCTTGTGCTTAATGTGCCCTAATCGATGAACGAATGCTCTGTGACTATCCTAAATACAGGATTTCTCCAGTGTATGTTTCTGAAGGTGGCTCTGAAGATCTAAATCAGTTATGAGAGCATTAGCAGTTACTGTGTTTCAATAACTGTTTTATTTGGGTTAGAGAGGGGTTTTTAAACTTTTTTCTCAGTGGCTATGATTTATTTTAAAGTGAAATGTAAATTGGTAATGTGTAAATTAAAAATTGCTAATTTTAATCTCTTTCTGGTAAAGCCAAAATATTGTTTTTCTATCTGTTCTAATTAGGTTTTTTTGCTCAAAAAAATAAATACGGATTATTGAGAGTGAGTGTAACCTCTAGATTTTTTAGAGGAATTCAGGAGATCTGAAATTCTGCTGGTTTTGAAATGTGTTAGCTCTTTTAAATATCTTGTATATAAATGGAAATGGTCAACACTGAATATTTGTCATCTCAACCCACTGCTATTAAACTTAAATTTCAGGGCTCTAGCTTATGTGTATGCTAGTATTTTTTTTTTAAACTTAGGTGGATGACAGTGTTTTCCCAATATTATTATTATTATTCCTATCCTACAGTTTAGTGTTACTTATAGGATAGCAGAGTATTTTTGTTAAGTTATTAATAAACATGTCTGAAAATGTCACAAAATTGTGCATAATGTTTAGAAAAAGAAATATTAAACAGGTCTTCTGTTCCATGTGTTTATATACAGAATGTACAATTTTACACAAAGTATTATTTTCAAAGTACACTGCATAGGTGTAGCTGTAGAGGATGCTACACGACCCGAAACAGTGTTTCACTATTTTTTATACTGAAAAGAATAGCAAGTCATACAGTATTGCAAAGCCTTTTCTTTAAGAATTTTCTGAGAAACAGTCACAGGCTAGAGACACAATACAGCTTTTGCAGCTGTTTAGGATGTGGTACAGATTGCTACAGATTCATCCTGTTTTAAGAATATCTTAATCCTCTACAGTAGAAAAAATAGTTGGTGTTCATTTTTTCGTGATTCTGATGTAGTGAGATTGGAGCACAACTTTACAGGAAATTATTTTTCTTTAGAAAGAACAGTTTAGTCAAATTCTTCCAGAAGGATGTTTTTGACTGAAATATCCAAATAATCAGTGTGGCACTGGTCCAGTAAATCTGTGAAGCATTTGTTTATCTTTAAGCATGTATTTTATCCTGTTGATTTTACTGTAACTGCTCAGCTATTTTAAATATAATAGAGTGCATGAATATAGAAACACATGCAGAGATATTGATGTACATCAAAGATATAACCTGGCATTTGTAAACAATAAGCTTTTCAAATTTTACATGCTAAAAAGTAAAGCATTAATGTTTCAAGGACAGAGAAAGCGTGTTTGGTTATTTTGATGACGAAGCAGGTAGGGCAGAATAAAAATAGCATTTATTAGTACTCCCATGAACTTGCAGCTGAGAGGCACTTAGAAAGGTGTGAAACCATCTTATAATACCTTAGAAAACACCAAATAAATAATGTATGAGAAACAAACTTGTTGCTATAAATAACGTAATAACAAATAATTTTCTTCCATAGCACTGAATGTTTACTACAAGATGTGACATTTAAATAATAAATTTCTATAATATCAAATGAGTATTTATTTATATAAAAAAATCTTTCATATGCATTACATTTTATAGCTCTTTTATCATATTTTGTTTTCCCTTGAAGATCTACTTTTTATTGCAACTTATATTTTTCATGTGAAATTAAAAGTTAATTCAGGGAGCAACCAATATTCCACAAAGGATATTTTTTCTCTATCAAATATCTGTAGCAATTTATTACAATATTTAAATGCATGTTCCTTACAGGTATCTTTTGAAATGGGGAGACTCAAAACCAGGTGATCTCCTGCTTCATCCCCTAACGCTAAGCTGAGATCATTCATCTACATGAGATCCAACAGTGTTTTCAAGAAATGAATCTCTCATTCTTTTCCAGTATTTATATCTTGTTCCTTACAGGGGTGTGTGTATAAAGTATGTTAGTTGCTGGACAGCTTCAGACAAATGTAGATAAAAGGAAAGTAAAATGCTTAAAAATTAGGACACCTACAGCGTTAGTTACCTTTTTTCCCCTGAAGGAATAACATTTCTTAAAATTTTGCATTTCTCATTCTTTGTCTGTTTGTAAACCACAGCAACAAACCTCTGTCTCATGTTTGAATTTACAGGTAGAATCTCGGACCATGGAAGCTTCCCCTGAAGGAACAGTTGATGTATTTGCTACTGTTGATGGGTCCAAAGAAGTTCAATTAAAATGGCTTGCCCCAAATAAACCTAATGGAAAACTGGCCTACACAGTCCTTGTCACTGGTCTCTTCTACGCTGATCAAGGTATTTTTTTTCCTTTTTAATAAGTCTAATGATAGCATTGGTGTTCCATTTCAATTTAAAAAAAAAAATTCCCTTAGCACTAGATTTTTCTACTTTTTTGCCACTACATTGATTATTTTAGGATTATCAATTTTATTCTTTAAGAACTGCTGCTTTGATTTATGGCGCTTTACATTTTTAGAAACACATAAATTAGCAAATAAAGATAAGCCCTCTGTACTCATTTAGTCTCTAGATATACGCATGGAGTCTTATCTCAACCTTCACTCAGATAAGGAAGCTATACTCAGAAAAGTTCGGTTGGTTTGCTTATATAAATGGGAGCCATTCATGAGAGTTGTTCATAATATGGTTGATCGTGTGTATATTTGAAATTTATATAAGCTGCCGTATAGAAGTAAGGCTTACAAAGAGCCAGCTACGTAAAAAAAAGTATGCAACTGAAATCAAACACTTATTCCTAACAAGAAGAAAGGAAAAGAAAACCAGTTCTTTATTTCTATATAACAAGCAGACTCACCATAAGATACAAAAGCCTGAGAAGTAACAATTATCTGTTAAAACTGGTGGAAACTTTGTTTCCACTGGTTTATGTTCTGGGTTGTTTGGTTTTTTATTTTCTTGTCTTTTAAACCTAAACATAGCCAAGTGGTCTTGGGTGAGAATGTTGCTAGCTCAGAGTGATAGAATTAGTCAGTGCTGTTACCCTTGCGTCAAAAGACTACGTAGGGCACTGAAGAATGTAAATGGACATTTTTTCCAAATGTGTTACAGCAAGTACATATTTTTCAGTTGAAAATAAAAAGATGCATCCTCTAATTCTTATAAAATGTGCAATACTTGGGCAGTGAATAAAAATGCAGTGAATAAAAATGAATGTTCACAGAGTGTGTGAGCATTTAATATGTCAATTTGAGCTATTAAGAATGCTCTAAGGTATAATAAATAATAAAATATTGTACACAAATAATGCTTATGAATTATATCTAACAATGTTGTCATTAATTTTTAGTGCGCTTTAAATAGTATGATTGACATCAGGCTACTATAAAAATGTTTTCTTATAATACCAAATTGTGGTTGAAAATAATGTTTGGATGACATTTAATCCTTCTATGTACTGTACGCAAATTTAATCAGTATTATAAATGCAGTAACAGAGAGAGAATTGACTTACTGATGGCTTCATAACTTGGCTTTTTTTTTGTCTGCTCAGAACAAGAACCATTTGTTTCCAGTATCAGTGCTAAAGAGAACATACACGCTGTAATTGCTGTCCTCTACATAGTAGTATATAAATGAACTTGTTTGTGCGCTGTTTGGAGAAACACATTCATTGAAGAGTGTAATGTGTGGTAGGCAGTCTCAGCTGACCCCTCACAAAGGCTGTTGTGTCTCTTTTTTATGCAATGAAAGCTTTGATGTATTCTGCTGTGAAGCACTTGTAAGATTATGAGGAGAAGGAGAGATGATCAATTTGAAAAAAAGGAGCAACATTTTGGCTGGACCCGTGACAGCACAGCCATTTCCGCCAAGGCAGGAGGGTGAATAATGCAAAAGCCATATTCCCCTTGTGTTTAATCTTGCATTGTTTTTGCAGAGAAAATTTCTGCTTGCTTTCTAAGTCATGTCATCCTCGGTTGTCATCCCGTCTCTCAAACCATCAAAACGGTATTAAATGTTGCAAAGCTGTGCAGCTAGAGAACTTTCAAAAGTCAGAACCCATTTGCAGAGCAGCCCTTGTAGAAAATGTATTCTGTTCTCGGCAGAATTTTCCTTCAGTTCTTTCCACTGAGAAGTTTACTGATTTCTCCCAGTGGAATCTGCTGGAATTTATCGGTTCATGGTTGGCAGTCACAGATTAAGGTAAATGTCGATCCGTAATGACCCTCTACATGTTAGTATTGCAGTAAAGCTGGGCTTTTATGTCAAAGATATCGGAGAGGGAGCTATTACACATGACAGGGGTGATCAAGGGACTCCAGACCAAGGCAAGCATTATTAAATATTGACTAGTTCTGTGATTTATGTAGAGCTGGAGGAAAAAAGTGACTTTTTAACCATTATATATTCTTCAGCAACGAAAACCAGCCATTTATCTCCTGCTGGTAATAAAGAACAGAGTGCCTGCATATTTTAGTGGAGGGAAAACCTGGCCTTATAAATGAGATGGACTCTTTCATGATAACATTTCAGTTTTCTAATTGCCAAAAGCAAAACAGGCAAATTGGAAGCAATTATAAGAGTTGACTTAAAGTGGCTGCTCTGTTAGTTCAACTCAGGAGAGCCGGGTGGTGGTGAAAGAATCATTGGGGAATGGAACCCAGAAAATTTCATTACGTTTGTTCACTGTTGCTGAAACTTTGCTTTGCCATGCTAAATAAATAGAGAGTGTTTCCCCCCAGAAGTCAGAGCTCTAGCAATTGACATTTATGCTGGCTGTTTTGGGGGTATGCAGGCAGGAAATTAAGCATTAATTCATCAAACTTATATAAGGCATCATCTGTTTGCTTGATTTACACAAAGCTTATTGAATTGTCTGATGGCTAATTGGTATTTTCTTGACATGATGAACAACTGTATTTCATCCTTTGTGCAACGTCTGTTAAAGAGGCAGGGGTTAAAATCTAAAAATTGGAGGTGGAATTCACCCAGAAGGGCTGCATATAAACATGAAAATAGTGCGCCTGTGGCTTCAACTGGTGGCTAGCTCAGCAGTACTTTA